AAAAAAAAAATAATAATATTATATGTTAAAATGAGTTTGAAGATAACCTGTAAGCCTGATACCATTTATAATATTTCTTTAAGCAAATATGTTCAGAGTTTCAAAGTGCTGAATAAACTTTAGTAATGCTGTTTGAAATTTAACATATGTAAATTATATGTCAGTTAACCTGCTCAAAAGCGAAAGCATAAACAAAGTAAATTGACTTAATCACTTATTAAAAGGACATTAAACAGCCAAATAACTTTCTAACAAAAGAACAAAATTGGAAGACTTATTATTTCATTTCAAGACTTACTATAAAGCTGCAGTAATCGGAACAATTTGATAATGGAATTAGAAAAAGCATATAGATAAATGGAACAGAATAAAACTTAGGGGTATTATACCCACACATCAAACTTTTCATTTAGGAAAGAAAAGTCTTTCAAAAAATGGAGCTTGAATAAATGGATATTCATTCATATGAAAAAATAAATTAACTTCAACCATGACCTCACACCATATGCAAATATTAACTTGATATGGATCATAGTCCTGTATTTAAAATCTAAAACTATAACACTTATAGAAGAGAACAGAAAAATCTTCATTGTCCTTGTATTAAAACAAGGAATTCTTAGAAAGGACACAAAAAGCACAAATTTTAAAGTAAAGAATTAAAATAGGACACAAAAAGCACAAATCTTAAAGTGAAGAATTAAAATAAAATAACTTGTACTTCAAAATTTAAGAGCTGCTCTTGGAAAGACACCATTAGGAAAATGAAAATTTAAGCCACTGGGAGAAATTATTTGCAATGCATTTCCCTGATAACTAGTGATGTTAAGCATCTTTTCATGTGCTTTTTGGCCACTTACATATCTTTTGAAGAAATGTCCACTCAAATCCTTTGGCCATTTTTTAAATTGGGTTATTTATCTTTTATTGTTGAATTATAAGAGTTCTTTATGTATTCTGGATTCTAGTCCCAGATCAGATATATGATTTGCAAATATTTTCTCCCATTCTGTGGGTTCTCTTTTTACTTTATAGTTTTAGCTCTTACATTTAGGTCTATGACCCATTTTGAGATAATTTTTGCATAGGGTGTGAAAGAGTCCAACTTCATTCTTTTGCATATAAAGATCCAGTTGTCCCAACACCATTTGTTGAAAAGAATATTCCTTCCCTATTGAATTTTCTTGTAATGAGAAAGCTCATAAAATCTTAAGAAATTGTATCAAAATGAAAAGAAGCCCCTGGCCCACCAAATTTCAGTGGGCAGGAAGCAGGATAAGAAAACTATTCAACTGCAAACATGGGCTGCCGTAAGTCCTCAAGTCATGGATAGCTTCTTGGAAACTGTGACTTTAAGTGAAACCACATGTAGCACCACATACACATAAGGTCATCCCTTCTCAGTTGAATTTCAGAATTACCATGAATTAGTGACTAGTCCCTTAATGAAAGGAAATATCTGCTGCAGTTATCCTATTCCTGCCTCACCATTGTATATTGGATGTATGGATGGCAGTTAACTTTTTTTTTTAGGACACAACATTGTGGATTTTAAAAAGCCACATGCTAAGAGTCTCATACCTACTAGATGACGATCACAAAATACTGGACGTTAGCCTGTATTATTTTGCATGTGAAAGGAATGAAAATACTTGTGTCCAGAGGGTGGAATGTGATAGGTTAAATATGGCTACAATGTTTCGAGCTGTTCCCATCAAGAGATGGAGTCTATTTCCCTAGTCCTTGCTCCTGAGCTGGCAACGTGACTTTCTTTGACCAGTAGAATGTGGCATAAATGATACGGTGTGAGCTGGAACCTCGGGCTTGAGGACCTTGGGGCTCTGTTTTGCTCTTGTAGAACTTTGCCCTGAATGTAAGGGAGCCACGATAGGGAACTGGGCTAGCCTACTAGAAGATGAGAGACCACATGGAAGAGCTGAGATGCCCTGACAGCCTGCATCAGTTGCCAGACATGTGAGCGAGGCATCTGGGATCTTCCAGCCAAGTGGAATGCTCTGGCCAAATACAGCCCATGAATGAGACCAGGCAAAACCAGCAAGGAACTGCCCGGCCAGCTCACAGAATAATGAGAAATAATACATTGCTGTGTTCTTAGCCACTCGCTTGTGAGGTGACCTGCTGTGCATACACATTAGATTCCATTCACATCCAAACAATAATTGAGAGGCCAAGTGCAGGAAAGAAAGTTGCAAAAACTCGATTTATTAAGGCCTTAGTTTGAAGGCCATAGTAGAAGAAAAGAAGAAATAACTTACATTTTGGACTAGGTTTCCTTTTCTTGTGAGACGCAGAAAACTTGCAAAGAAAGAAGTTCCTTCTTCTCTTTTGCAGATAAGAATTAGGAAACAGAGAAGCTACAGTTAATTAATGAGGTATTATTGAAGGTCTTTCCTGGATATTGCCTTTGAGTTCTTGGGACAAAATAGGCTTTATTCATCCAAAGAATTATGATGGAAAATTGCTGAAAATATCACTGGCTTTGTTTCTTGACAAGAACAGAGTTTTCTTTCAACATTCCCAGGACCTAGCCAAGGCAGAATCGCAGCCATCAGGCCAAGCGTGACAGCAGGAGGGTCCTCACCTCTGAGACTGGAGTCAGGCATGCCTTTCTGTCACCGCGCTGCCAAAAGGCCCTGGATGGTCTGGTTGTGCATCAGTTCCCTCCCCTGCCTCTTGTTCCCCCAGGGCTTCCTTATTTTTCACCATCCGCAGCCTTTGACTCTTCTTGCTGTGACACTCTCTGAGCAATATTCCCTGTATGGAGTCATACACTCTTCCAAGAAAAGGCCTTATTTATGTTCAAGGAAAAAATGAATACAGAATAACAGGCCAACATTGAGGTTCCTGCAGCTTTTCTGTTATCATTCAAATGTGATTCCATACCCTCTTTGGACATGGTTTAGTCATTTTAATGAAGTATTAGACTTGCTTCCCCTAGTAAAATCAAATTTAGTATAATTTAGAGGACCATCAGTGACATGATAATTGATTTCTGGTCACATATTCAAATAGTTCTATTATTCAAGATTTTATAGACAGGTTAAAAAGATTATTCACCATATCAGAGCATTACCCGTAAAAAAGAACCTTTTTTAGAAAGGGAATTTTGAAATGCACATTTAAGAAGTTCATGTAATATAGAAGGGTATTAAGGTCATACCCATCATCCCTAGTCCCATTTCCCAGCAGTAACTGATAATAAGAGGCCTTTTAAAATTTGTTTAATGTATCCTTCCAGACATTTTTATTATATGCATCCATTGTTTCTCAACTAATCGGACCCAAATGTCCCTTCTATATAAGAAGTATTTTTAATGTCTCCTTTGCTGTCATGAGGTAAAATTAATACTGGTCTTAACGCTATGTTGCCTAGAAAACAAAACCTGAGGCAAGGATTTGTGCTGATGCTTTATTGGGGAGGGCCAATGTCAGGGCACCGAGAACAATGAAAAAAAGGGGCGGGGGGAGGCAGGGAAGGCAGGAAAGCATGCCAAGGAGTACATGAGCGCTTCTGGAGGCCCGGAGAGACCCAGCCAGCCACTCAGCGGGTGTGTTCCCATCACACGGGACATCTGTCTGGATAGAGGGTGTATGGGGAAACCATGCCTCGGACAAGTACGTAAGAAGGAACAGGAAGAGGATTATTTATCTGCTTGGTGCCTTCGCTATTATAATGTTAACTCCTCTTTGGCCCCACAAAGACTAAAGTCCCTTGCACTTCCATGTTGCTCATGTTATCACCTTTAGCAGCTGCTCAGGAAGGCAGTTCCTATGCCCTGCAGTGTGGCTTTTCATCCAAGTCTGGAATTGATGACAGAACCCAGAAATTTAAGTATGCATCTTCTTAGCCAGGCTGCCTGGCAGCAGCCTAGGGGAGAAGCAAGGGAGGCGGCCTATCTTGGCAAGCAATTGGTTGGTTCTAAATGGCAGAAACACTTAGGTCAGGCGGAGCCAGCTGTGGTGGTGCCTACGGTTGAGTAAGCAGCTGCGAGTCCAGGAGATGAGATGAAGGCATTGAAGGAATCTGAGGAAATACACAGGAGGTGTCCAATACAGTGATATAACTTGCATATACTCAGGACTTTTAACAATTGATATCTCCTAACTGTAAGGTAAAGAAATTTTCAAAAAGGAAAGTAATGATAATAAAATACATGCATTTCAATATGCAGATGCTGGGGTATGACTGCACTAAAAGACAAAATGAAATAGTCAGACGCTTGACTTTTCCCCAGATTCACCATGAAGGAAGGGCCCCTAAGTCAGGTGTTTTGTTTTGGTAACTCACATACAGGCGTGCTACTGCTGACTTGTTTTTATAAACTATGAATAACTTTTTGTGGTACCCTCAGCAAAACAAAAACACAATCTTTCTTCCATATACATGGTAACTGCATGTCTAGAAAATTCAGAATATATTGAATCAGTCAAAATGTTTTCATATATAAAATATAGTCAAGGTCTAGGCTCACATAATTATAAACAAGTTTTTCACCTATATGAATAAAAAATTGTGTGGCACATGGTTCCATTGGATGTAGGGCTGTCATCAGCAGGATATCTACCAACTCTGGCTCTTGTTCATTAAATCCAATAGTGGGCTCCTCCCCCAATCATGGTGACAACCGAATGGCACTACACAGATTTCCAAAATGCCCCCACGGGGTGTGGGGAGGGGGCAGTGCGATTTCTTGAGAACCTCTTCAACAAAAACAAAAACCAAAACAAAACCCAGGCAATACACATCTTGCAGATCTTACACTTGGAGATTTTGTCCATATTAGCACTTACAGATCAACTGCTCTTGTTGCACAGCATTCAAACATTTCTGTGTGCCAAGATGTATTTAGCAATTGATAGTCTTATTGACTTTTTCAGCTTCTTGTTACAAACTATGTTGCAAAGATGATCCTTATACATTAGCCTTTGTGCACTCATGCAATTATATCTCTAGAATAAATTCCCATAAGCCAAATGGTATGTGTATTTTTAAATTTTTATGAATATTGCCAAATAGCCCTCCAAATTATTGTCAGATATGCACCTACCGATGGTTGTATAAACGCCATTTTCCCATCACCTCCCACCACTTGGTATTACAGAAGGTTTTAATTGGTTCTTTAAAGGTGAAAATGAAGAATTTTAAATGTCCTATTTAAAACCATTTTCAGATCATTTTACATTACTAAGTAGCTCCCAGCCTTAACTTATCTTTTTATATAGGATATTCACATGGAAGAGAAATTGGACCTTCAGTGTTTTCTAGGGTTGAACCAGGGTCATGACAGAAAGTTAGACAGATAGAAGTTTTGGCTCTAAGAATGTAAAAACTTTTAAACAAATCTAGCCATCAGCAATGGAATGGCCTGCCTGGGGAGATAAGGAGCTCCCTCCCCATAGCTGGAAATTTTCAGTTTCAGGCTGGATGAACAACTTCAAGTGATGTTCTAGAAGAGATTCCTGAGTTTAGTGGAATATTACACAAAACCATTTTCTAAAGATGTAGTAGTACCTGGGCCATGGTGTGTGTGTGGGATGACTTTAGGTGGTACAAACTTTAAAAATTTTTATTTCGTTTTTATATGTATAAACTATGTTGCACTATTACTAGCAGATCATATACCCTAATATACTAAGGTAGTTCTGCCAAAATCATAAATAAAGCATAGCAAAAATGAGCTTGATGACCTTCAAAACTGAGATTCTACAGTTCTAAATCTAATCTCAGTAATACTAAAGTTTCAACTAGTAGTGAAAAGACTTCAAAACCCCACCTGTTACATTTATTATGAGCAATGTAAACACAAACCAAATTCTAGTACAACAGAGAATTCGAGTATTTGGAGCTTAATGCACAGGTCAAATCCCATGAAAACTTAGTTAAAAAGGAGAACCCTAAGCCTTAGGTGAAGACCCATCCAGAAACTATCTTCAATTTAATAATTTGAGAGCAATACTAATATTTTAATGAGTTTTTTAAAGTTTAAAGTTTGCTGCAATGGGAACAAACATAAATATTTTAAATGAATTCAGAAAAAAAAAAGTACACACACAAAAAATTTGCTGGTGGCATCCCATTTACCCGTGAACACTTCCAAGCCCACCCCTGGTGGAAGAGAATAGCAAGAACTGTCTTCACACTCCCGTGGGCCTCTGTCGCTATCATGAAACCACCATCCAGTCCACCATATTATATATGTGGAATATAATATAAACCTCTGCACTGGAAATCACAGGTGAATATTTATTTAATTCATATGTAATTTTTACATGATATTCATGGTACTATAAACATAGGCACATTTTAAAAAACCTCAAGGTACATCCAAAAATTATCACCTCACCCCAACCTACTTCAATCCCCTCAAGATGGAATATCTATTATTTGTAAAACAGAGGCCAGAAACCTTGCCTATTAATTTTAGGAGAATCCTTGTAACCATTAAGATCACTCTTTTCTTGCTTTAACCAAGCAAGGTCAACAAGCTTTTGGACAAAGGGGCATGTGTTTTTAGGATTTTAATTCTACCAGTTGATAGAAGTAATTAGATGCCTCTGCCTGGGTAGTTTGTAATAGGTTTATACTTTTGTTTCCCCGACTTAGTTCAAGTCAGAGAAAAATTGGTATCTACATCCCTGTCGGGCTTAAGAGATGGCCCCCTAATCCCTAAGAGATGGTTTAAAAAGATGTCACCATACCAAAGGAATCACTTAACCACATCTACTGACAAACAGGCAGCTTCCCATAAAGTACAGATTAAAACATTGTTCACTTGTCTTGGTTTTCACTTAGGGACAAACATTGTAGATTTAGTAATCCATGGGATTGAGCACAGAGCTCAATGGACAAAAACAAATTCCCCCAAATGACTCAGTTGACTCATTGACTATACCCAGGCATGATCTAGACTTGCAAGTTTGTGTCATACACCCTAACACACATCAAGATTAAAGTCTTTAGTAGAAAGCCATTGTAACTTGTTGAATTCAAAATGAGAAAAAAAATGGGTATTTGAAATTGATTCATCAGAGTCACTCTATTATGATATACTTTTAACTTGGAGGGGAAAAAATGATTCATATACACAATTCTCTTAGTAAAAGTTACTACTTCTTGCTAATAACACATTTTACTTTACTTCAGAAAATGCATTAATTTTATTCAAATATATTTTTCCTGAAATATAAATATTTAAATTAAATTTTTATAAATGTAGAGAATGTAGTTTCTATTGACCCCCACACAGATATTAATCAGTCCAAAACTTAAGTGATGAAGAAATATTTGTAGTTATGATCATTTTAATTTGTCTATAAATATATAATAGGATTTTTGCAACTTATTTATGAGTAATTAACTCATACTTCATGTAGTACCGAGCACCTTAGATTACATACTGTTGAATTAAACTATTAGCATTAATATATGTATTTTAACATGTTATTTACAATACACAAGTATAATTCTTTTGTATAACAACATTCCAGTGATTTTTGAAAATATATCGTGAAAGAGTGCAATATAATTTACAAATGCATCAAAGCTTTCCTACAGTATTCAAGCTGGGACTTTACTCTTCAGCATTTTATAATAGGAAACAAACAAACCAAAATCAACATCCTAAAGCTGTGTTTTCTAAGGCAGTTTCTTAAAAAGCACTAGCTTTACACGATGTTCCATTAGAAAGGAGTTCTGTAGGTAAGGGTGAGGAATGGCTCACCAGGTTACTTTAAAGTCTTTGAGGAGGCTGGCAATCATGAAACCTATTTAACATTTTTTAAACTCAGTATCAAACAAAGTTTGTTACCAAACTGCTATCCCCACCCTCCAAAACACCACTCGATCAATGTCTCATGGAACTAGTGTCATATGATTCATACTTTGGGGAAATGCTGATTTAAAATAAAACTTTGCAACTCAGTAAACACTATGTCCGAGTGAGCAAAGTCACCTTCCTTTAAAACAGTTTCACTTTTTTAAGGTCTTTGCATGGGTACTTGCTAAAAATAAGATTCTTAAAAAATACACAGGTCTAACACAGAAAGTCTGTCTACGTAAACTACAGAGGAAAAAAATAAGTGCTAGAAATGCTTACAGAAATCCTAGAGCTAATTTTCAAGGTTTGAAAAAAGTGACTCCAAATAATAGGTGTTATTTTTAGTGAATTAGTTTTGAAAGATAAAAGCAAAAGCATTAAATCAGTAATGTGCTATATATTGTCTGAAAATATTCTTGTAGAAAAATATCAGGTCATTATATTATTTCCCTGGAATTTTGAGAGAGCTGCAGATACTATCAATAGATTTGATTAAAATACTGGGCCTATATGTAAACCCCAGCATTATCCAGAATTAAACTAGGCTGCTCTATTACTTGTGTGAAAAATGCATGCCTACAAGCACAGGCAGAAACAAGGGTCAATAAACTGCTCAGTATTGCCACTTAAAACCATGAAATAGTGATAATTAGTTAACCCCAACCATGTGAGTTTTATACATATGAATCAGATGACAATCTTTTCTAAAAAAATACCCATAATTTGCTCTCTATAAATAAAGCTATCAGTCTTGGCTATAAGACAGCAGACCTTGACGTGAGAGTAGTCCCAGAATTAATCAACTTTTGTGCATACAACTCCTTAGCAAAGCTTTATCAATTTAAACACTCAACTTTGGCTCAGATTCCACTAGCTTACAGCTCAGACCAGTATCTGATGCTTTATCTAATTCCTGCTCAGCATATGCTAATGAGAATACTTGGGAATCATCCTACACTATTGAAAGATAATTTGTTTTAAAAAAAAGTAACAACTACTTTATACTTAAATGAAAGGTTGGTTTCTATATGAAGTATTTTTCTTTTCCTACCAGTGAAAGTCAACTCAACTAGAATCAGGAAATAAATCACAGTGAAACAAGAGATCATTGTTACTAGGGGTAGGAAGCTGGGGGAAGAGGTGACAATGTCCATTTCTCACCTATTCAGCCCTTGCTTACCTGGCTGAACCAGTTGCCTGGAAACTGGTACGATTAAGATCTGCACATGCTGTTCTAATGGTCATGTCCTTGGTTGTCATTATTTAGAAGCTATTCTGTGTATTTCCAATCGCCCTCACCTCTTTAACCTTGTACTGTTCTAAAAATCTTTATTCTGATATTTCTCAGGGTGCTTTCTTAGGATACCCCCCTTGTAGTTGCTGAAACTGACAGAGAAGTTGGGGACAGTTACACATGACTCCTGAGACCTAAAGCTCACTGTCGCATGCTACGTCTGGTGCGCTGCTCACTACAGATGATGTCTGACGTCACATACTCTGGTGGCATTGCAGCCCACCTTTTCTCAAAGGCAAGTCGCCCCTTTCTTCAGGCCACCAAGCCCAGTCTTGTAATCTTAGCTGACAGAAAGGAATGAATGATGAAAACAATTGGCTTGGGGCAGGAATGAAGGTCCAGTTGCTGAAATTAAAAAAAAAAAAAAGTGCATGAGAGAGTTTAAATTAATGCTTGATGCAGAACAGTGATTTACACATCAAATGAATCTATACACACTTCCTGCTTTTAAGTGTTAACTGGAGCAATTATGTTTGAAAATCATTGCCCCTCAATGAGATAAAAGAATAACTCTTTTAATTTATTCCTTACATCTTACATATCTTTTTCTAAAATAGGTTCTATGAAATGTAGATATGCCAACACCATAAACATTGATGTTGCCCTTCTTGACTGTCTACCTAAACCATTTATTTTTGGTGCCACAAGAGTGATATTTATTGATGTCGGGTTTGGTACAGCATGAAGCAGTACTAAATTTCATCTCTGAAGATTAGGTTTGAGTCCTGGTTCTGACACCTTTTAGACGTAAGATCTTGGACCAGTGACTTAAAATTCTTCTCAGTCCTACTAACTCACAGACTAGAGTATTAAAAGAGATGCTGTATGTGAAAATTCCTTGCATGCTGTTAAATACAGAACCCACGCTAAGGAGCTGTGTCCACACTGTCCTCTACTCTTGAATCATTGTAAGCATATACGTCACATCTCTGGGAAGGCACTTTCTAAAGTCCTATTTTTCTCCGTGTGTTCCTATAGAACTCAGCACACAGGGCAGGAGAGGCCTTCAAAAGTTGAATTGTATCACCTGACCTAATTTAGGAAAATTGGGGGCATTGTTCTCGATTCTCTTCTGCTCTCCCCAATTTTGTTCTGATGATGACATTGTTGGGAAATAAGAACAACCTGAGCATATAATATCTACCAAAGTTAAGGTTGTCCTCACTATAAACCAGGTACTGTGCGAAATATTTTCTGCACACTATCTTATTGAGTTCTCTCTCGCAAAATCCCTATGAGGTAGCTATTGCTATTATCTCCACTTTTTATATGGGGAAACTAGGATTTGGGGAAATTATAAAACTTTCTGAAATCGTAGATCTTACAGTAAACAGGAAGTATAGATTCAAACACAAGCCTATCTGATGCCAGAGCCAGCGCTTAACCACAACATTCTGTCACCAGCACAGAAGGAACATCAAAGATGACCTACTTCAGTCCCTTTATTTTATGGATGGAGAGACTCAGATCGGGAGAAATAAAAGGACTTTCCTGAGACTGAGTTAGTTGCAGACTCGGAAAGAGAACCCAGGGCTTGACTCCCAGTTTATTGCATTTCCTACGACTCATCTCTGCTCCCTTCCCTGCACAGGAGAGGCCTTGCCCACCTCCTGGGGTTGCTTAACCAGACAGTTGGGGGCTGTGTCTGAATTTGAGCTTGTCAACTAAATGTATTAGCAGTAAAAAATCAGTTCATCCTAAATCTTCCAAGTCAGGCCATAATTACAGGCAGAAAGGCTGAAATTTAGACCTAAGTGATTTTCCTCATGGGCAAAAATAGCCTTGAATTTTAAAGCCAAGGATAAAGCAGGAGACTGATTCTTGTTCTTTTCCACTTTGCTAGAGAGTAGTCACCTTTAGAAAAACGTATACAGATGGGTGATTGATAGAGCTGCAACCGAACTAAAAGTATTCTTAGTAAAATGGATTTTCACAGCACTGCTTTATTTCCAAACAGGTGCTTCAGCTTGAATTTGCTGATTAAAACATAAAAATAAACAAAAATTCAATAAAATTTTGTAGATCCATTTTAAAAGTTAGAAAAATGGCTGGCTGGAAATAGTTCTCAGAAAAGGAATGCACATCAAGTGTCAGCCATGGGGGATGGTCTTCATCAGGACCGCCTGCAGCATTCATCGTAAGACATCTGGTACTATGTTGGGGCAGGAAGCACGGCGTCATCTAGAAACAGTGGGACTGCAATTTTGAGATAAAAAGACCCTTACACCCTGTTAAGTGTGTTCCTGGCCTCTTCCTATCTGAAAGTCAACAAATAATTGTTGACTAACCCAGTGGCTTGGGAGGACCTGAACAGAGACGAGTTATCATAAAATCAAGGTCCTTTTTGAAGTTGTATACTCGACAGCTTAAATGAGATGCTATGTCTTCCTGAGAAGTGCCAAGAACGACACTTGCTAGAGAGCGTAAGAATATGCAATTCTCACCCTCCTGTGGAAGTGAAGTGTTAATAATACACTTCTTCATTACGGCAGGCAGCAGTGATCACAGGAAATCAGGAATTTAAACACATGAACTATCTGCATTGAGATGAGAAGTATAAATGTTACCTTACCTGATACTTTTGCTAATTTGATTTGATATTATTTGACATTAGCCCCACACTTCCGTGCCCTTGTCTGGACCTCTCTCCACTCAGGTGGAGTTAACCAGGTTCTTTTTGTTTTTCCGCTGCTCCCTTTATTCTGCCTGTCATCTAGCCCCTCCTATCTCTTTGCTCTCTGACCTCTCTGCTCCTCAGAGACTTCCCTGATGGTAGGGACTGTGTATTTTACCTCTCTGTATCTCTAACACTTAGCGCAATGCTGAGGTTATAGTAGATGCTCGATAACTTTTTAAAAATGCATGGTACATTTTTTAAGCTGGTGAGCCTCTATTTGATAAGAATTTAATGCTAACTTTGTAAAGGATTCTTTCCTTTGATTCAAATATTTATGTAGCCTTCTAATGGAAAATGAGACCAAAGGAAAGAACTTTGAAATAATTGAATCCAATCACTGGTTTTCAAGGATCAAATAAAACATGGGCTTGCGAGTACTTTGTTAACAGTCAAATGCTGAATAAACGGAAGGCAGCATCATGTTGCGTAATGAAAGAGATGAAATCACGCTGTCTAAAGAAAAGCGCACTTACGATCTCTCCATCTTTGCCTCCAAAATCTAAATACAGCATCCTGATTCCATCATCCGAAGACATTTTGAGCTTTTCATAAGGAGACTGTAGGATTGTCTTGGGAAAGGCACCCTCCTGTGGTTCAGTGGTAATGGAAAATCCATTCTCGTAATGAATGGTCAAACGGCACTCCTGGTTTTTATAGGTGCAAGCTGAGGGAGGAAGAGAGAGAGGAGAGAGACAAGTAAGAACCATGGAAATCAATCCATGTTCCCAGTTACTTCATACTCCTCAGGCCCAGGGACCAACCACAAATTCCTTACTAAAGCAAAAAAATGGTAATTTGTGATAAAAATATTCTCCTTGGATTGATTTTGATATTGTCTTTTAAATAGCCCCATAGAACCAAGAGAAATGAACTGAAAGAAATTCCTTTTGCTGTGATCTACTGAATGTTTGCTGGGCTTTAGCCCTTATCTGGCCATCTGACAGCAGCTAGGTCTACAGGAGCACTTGCCTTCTGATGGCCAGATGGGCCTTGCCTCAAGCCAGAAAAAAACAGACATTTGATTCAAATAAATAAAGCCTCCTCTGAATCACTATCATATACTCATACACACACACACACACATACACACACATGTCATGTAACATACTTAAAAAGTCAGGATTGAGTAGTTTAAAAATAATCTAAATTTTAACTTAAAAAAGTGTCTAACGAAGCTCTTTTTAGAAATTGAAAGGGGTGCTCTTTTAATCTTTCTGATGATCTTGGCTCCTGAAAAAGTCAGGATTGAGTTGTTTAAAAATAATCTAAATTTTAACTTAAAAAAGTGTCTAACAAAGCTCTTTTTAGAAATTGAAAGGGGTGCTCTTTTAATCTTTCTGATGATCTTGGCTCCTGGAAAAGCCGCTGTTGCAGACAGATCTCAGATGTAGCATCTTCCACAAAGAATGTTGTTTCCTCCCCCGGCCCAGTGTGGCACCCAGGAACCTCAGGGGTGGTATCCACATGGTGCCCTCTGATCCAGAGGAACAAAACAAAAACTTCTTGAGCAGGTCAGGTGCCAGCTTTTATCTGTGGTTCTCACTGTGTTTAGGAAAAGACTGGTTCTTCAAGCTTATGGGCTGGGCAGGGGGACCGCCACCAGCATCTCTGTCCATATTCAGGAACACTCGTGAATGTTTAAAACCCTTGATCAAAGAGTTCCGAAAAAAGGTTGTTAAGTATCAGATTGGATTTTTCCCTCACAAAACAGTATGTTTCAGACCCTGGCAAGTAAGTTGGCTCATGTTTTACCTACATCTAAAAGATCTTTAGGGAAACCAGGACATTGTCTTTGCTGGGAGTAGGGGTTAGGATAAGTAAGAGAGAGGGCATTATTCATGGACAATTGGCTCTATACCATCACCAGCTCTGCTCAGCTTTATAAACCCCAAACTTTTGAATCAGGAACTCAGCCCAATATTTGAGGTGAAAAAAACAAAGCTCAGAGAGGTGAACATGTCACTACCCAGGTTGTTCAGCTTTCAAAACTGAGTTCTTTTCACTCTGTCCCTTGCATCTTCCTCATGCTCTGACACTCAAGATGTGACGGGATGTGGGGAGGGAGCTTGGCACAGAGTCTCTCAGCTTTCCTGAGACTTTCCTCATGAACAATGACAGCAGGGTGGGGGAAGCCTCCAGCCTTTGGGGAAAGAAATGAGGATCTCTATTGCTCACAGAATGAGGTGGCTTTTCATTGAAACTCTGATTAAAACGTATACCCTTTCCCCTGACTTACAACAGACACATTTCAGCTTGTAACTGGGGCTGATCTTTTCCAAAGGTGTGTTCTCTAATAGGTCTGTGAGTCTTTCTGGGTGGAGCCCCTGGACCCTGCCCTCTGCCCCTTCCTCCCATTCAAGGACAGTGGCATAGAGGTAGATGGCCTCCCATCTTAACTCCTCTTTTTTGATAATCTTCACTTCTACCACCTGCAGAATATTGTGTCTTAACCATGTTTTTTTCTTCCTACCTCTTTAGAATTTAGAATATCTGATGACATGGCTTTAAAGCTATGCCATCAGATATTCTAAATTAACTGACTGTGATTACTTTTCATTCCAGTTGACCTCAAATGGTATTTGTGACCTATATATAATGGAACCAGTTATCTGAAGATATTCTCAACCTATACAGGATAGATTAGACACATTATCAAGTTAATTGAAACTCTGATTAAAACATAAGCCCCTTTTCCTAATTCTCTGCAGGCACCTTTCAATTTGTAACTGGGTTGCACCTTTGGTCATTTCCATAATTTCTTCTCTACCACCACCTAGCTAGCTAGCTCAGTTCCACAAAATTCTTTGCTATTCTTCTTCGGCTAGTCTATCAACAGCCTCATCATCTTCCTGTCAGAACAGAGTTCAGCTTATTGAGAGAGAAGGATTTTACAAAATTTATGAAATGTAAACTAAGCCAAACCCCTTTGGGCATCTTCATTATTTCCTAGAACACTCCCAAAATTTTGCATGGAGTCTCAACTTCTCTGGTATTACATGGATAACTTTATTAAATTTAGCTTACAGGTGGCTTGGGCCTTTTCCAACTCTCAAGTTCGAAACTCCAGTTTTTCTTGCCATATAGAGTAAGCATCAAAAATAAAAGTAACTGAAGCATTTGTACCCCCATAATATGCTGAAATAAAAAAGAAAAATAAATAAATAAATAAATAAAAGCTTCAGGGACACCCCCAAAATTTTCAACAATGATGGGAAAAACATTAGGGGGCAAGAATTAGTTTCAAGATAATTACCAAAAGGCACTGATTATCTTGGCTATGCTGTGGTAGAAATTTTACAAAACATCTGATTTTTTTATGTTTGCATGAGTAGAGGAAATTTAGAGAAACCCTACTATATGTTAATGTATGTCACATCTTTTAGAAGACACCTGGGTGTCTGAGGAAGTTGCACCCTAGTGTTGTACTATGCCAAGAGTGGTCCACGGGCCAGAAGCATCAGTACCACCTGGAATCTTGTCAGCTGCAAATTCTCAGTCCTCACCCTAGAACTGCCGAATCTGAATCTTTGGGGGTGGGGTTAGGGGTTTGCAATTTGAGGCTTTTGAAGGTAAAAAAAAAAAAAAAAAATTATTGTCATTGTTTTTGATGCACCTAAAGTTTGGAAGCACTGTTCCTAAGATGTCTTGCGGGAAATTCTGTTTCTCTAGAGCAGAGCTGTACAATAGGACTTTCCGTCATGATCAAAATGTTCTAGATTTGCACTGTTCACCCTAGTAGCCATTAGACCACACGTGGCTACTGAGCACTTGAAATGTGGCTAGTGAGACTGAGGAACTTATTAAATTTTAATTAATGTAAATAGACACATGATCAGAGGCTAGCATATTGGACAGTGCAGGTCTGGAGATAATAATTATAAGAATAACAATTAATAATAGTACTTATTGACAACAACCCTAGGAGTAGGTACTATACTATTGCTCCTATTACACCTGTGAGATAGGTACTATTACCTTCACCTTTTTATAGATAAAGAAACTAAGAGATTAAGTGAGTGATTAAGGAAGAAGCGGAACTGGAATTAGAATCCACGCCCACATGACTCTAAAGCTCCTACTGTCGTCAAGGTTATGTGACTATAACCATGTACTACTTCCTCAGAGACAGAGAGAAATGAAAGAACAGGCAAGACAGCATGACAAGACGAGGTGAACAGTGAATATTATAAGAAGCAACATGAAGAAACTCAAAGTTAGATTTACCGGAAAGCTGTTGTTGAGGGCACTAGCTACTATGTCACATAACACCCTCTTTATCAGGGTCCACAGGAGACCTGAGAGAGGCTGGTCTTAGATCTCAGAACCAGAAATAATTGGTCTTAGATCTCAGGATCAGGAACAATACCATTATATTATAGATACTGTTAACTGTATATTGAGGTGACTGATGAAAAACACTGGGTTAAATATGGAGTCCACTTCAGCAAATACACAAGATTTTATAACATGCATTTAGTTATTAATGTTACCTTAGAGTCTATATTACTTTTCCTGTCTTTTATTTTACCATTGCCCAATTAAAAAATTTAAATCATCTATATCTCTTGATATATATTTATATGTGTATGTATTGATATCTATCTGTTTTAGAGAGTAGCATGAAAATTATTTATTGCAACAGCTTCAAGAGAATTGCTGTTTGTTGGATCATTGGCATAACAGTGGGAAGTTCCATGTGTCCATAGATACTCTAGTGGACAAAGAATGGACTTCAGAGTGACACAACCGAGAATTAAATAAGTTCTGCCATTTATTAGCTGTGTGATCTGGGGCAAGTTACTTAACCTTTCTTAAGAATTTGCTTCCTGATTTGTCAGGTTGCCAAGGGAATCGTAAGGATTAGATGAGATAGGCAACGTATTGTGACCCGGACACATGCACTTGTGTGCGCGCACACACACACCTGAATCAAAAGTTCTACAAAACAATAAAACAACTTTTACACTAATTTCTCTATTCCATTTTATTTCATTTTAAAAATGTTGGTCTTGCATCAATTAATTGATTTCAGGACCCACAAAAGGGTTGTTTTTCACAGTATGAACAACTCCAAGAGACATTACATAAGATGGCTGGCATAGAGCAGGTACTCAACACATAGTGTAGTATAGAAGGGTTCGTCCTTCTACACACATCTCCCATTGCTACTACCAGCTTGTCCTTTCCGAGAGCTCCATGTGAACATGGCCTGTGCTCGTTCTGTGCTCCTTCCATCCTGCCTCTGCCCCTCCATTCACACCAGGGGCCAGGGTCGCTGGTCACTGTTCCCAGGGCTTTCCATGTAGCCCAACTTACCCCCACCTAGATACATTTGGTTCCTGCTCTTTTTCATAGCCTGGATCTCCAGTCTTCTGATCAATTCTGTGAGCTGCCTCATTTATTTCCAATAATTTTATTTTGTGATAAATTACTCAGAATCAGTTTCTGCTGTCTGTAATTGAGAAGCCTACTAATTCATGCCTCAAAATTCATTTCTCCAGGAAGCCACCCAGGGGTTAAAGGTAGGAAAATGATAATTGAATATTCAAATTACCAACTTTTCTTGAAGGAAGATTAGTTAAGGGTTTTCATAATCAAAAACTTAGGTTCCATTTTAGTAGGGAACACACCACCTTAATGTAGAAGAATTTAAATTTAGCTCTGGAATTTTAAGTACCCCAAGAGGTCAGTAATGAAAACTACTCTGAGGCTGGGGTAGGGTAGAGGTTGTGGTCCTTCCCATAATGTGTGTCATTGGTAGTCCATTGCCAGCAGTACTCACCGGTGGTGATTTCGGTAATGAGTTCAGCAGCATTGTGGCAACCCTGAACTATGCTCCTTGTCCAATGGGAGAGGTCCCTGCTGGTCTCTGCCCTGAAGAGATGTGTTTCAATCCCTTGCCTGGTACCAGTTCGTGTTGCAAAGGACAGATCCACACCAGCCTGGGGTGAACCCTTTCCTGGACCTGAATGGACCAGCCTAGAGAGAGAGAGAGAGAGACACAGAGAGAGAGAGACAATTCAGCAAAATGGAGACTAGTTTATCCACCTGGCATATCACCTTGTAAAAGCCCCAAATTGGTGATTTGCTCTCATTTTTTTTCTGATCTGGAATCAAAGGGGTCCACTATATCCTTCTGTTTGTCAGGGTTTACTACCTTTCCTGCCATCTCCTCTCCAATGGTAGTGTGAGGTTAAGGCAGCACCCAAGAGCTGTGCATCTGGATAAATATGCAAAGGATTTGAACAATATGACTTTAACGTGTGCAAATTCAACTCTACTCACTCAGCCAAAAAGAAAAAGAAACAAAGAAATGTAAGGGAGAAAAGAATTTAAATACTGTGTAAAATTCTCTCCACCATTCCATTCCTAAGCATATATATGTCCCAGCCTGAGCATGAGATCGGCATGTGAATCTACCGTTTCCGGAGCACTTAGTGCCCCTGTGTCTCTTGTAGTTTGGAGCATCCGGCTGTACTGAATGTACTTCTGGGTGTGCATTTTTCATGCATAGAACCCCTGAATGCAAGTAAACAACTTGGAACTCAATTGAAGAAACAGCAATAGGTGTTTCTGATAAAGCTCAAGAGAGAACCGGCAAAGCAGGACTTCTTGAGAAATGGTGGAGAATTGCACTTTTTGAGAGATTTAAGAGATTTTCAAGAGAAATATTTACCATGGAAGCTTTTCACACTGACTTTAGAACCTACGCTCAACATAAAACGTGACTTCCACAATAAATATTTTCTGAACAGCCAGACTTAAAAGGTGAAGAATCAAAGTGCTCTGAGTGCCACCTTCTGAGCAGGCACTGGGTCCTACTTCTCACTATTTATTTTATTTGATTATTTTATTTTAATTTGATTTATTTTATTTTTTTGAAGGTCTATGTATCACTCATTGCCTTTAAACAATTCGATCTCTCATGCTCTCTCTTATTTACTCTTCCGTATCTTAACCTCCTTTTGGGAGAGACTCATAGCAATCATTTGCAGCATAGCATAAGTGTAGTTTAGTAAATGTTACTTCTCTCCAGGGATCCGCATTTTCAGCCTTATCTTTTAATACAGGAAGCAACACTTCACTATTTGCTAGAGAAATGCTGTGTGTCTAACCACATGGTGGATGGGAGAGTTACTTTCTTAGGCAAAGGGCTTGTTATTATCGCTAGGTTAAAAATTGCACAAAAGAAATCCAAAAGCTTTTTTTCTCTTGTAAACCTAAATACTGTAGAACAAAATTATCAGTGGAGTAAAGCATATTATAGCCTGTTGAATTTCTAGCAACAAGCTTGTTGTATAATTCTGAGCAGATTTCTTTTACTACCAAGTTGGAATTAGGCGAGGGGGTAGTTTGTAACACCAACTCAAAGAAAAAGGTTAGTTGAAAAGCCTTTCGTTGGGAGATTCATTAAAGATATGGCAGTTCTATGAGTCTCATTGAAAAGAGATCCTAGAACAGTGTGAAGGGAAATGGCTGCTGGCTTGGGTGCCCAAACACTGGGATTTAGCAGGTAGAGATGGAGTCCAATTCGTTTGGAGGGAGAAGGGTGTTTTGTAATGAGCAGTGAGCAAGACTGACTGAGAAGCTGCTAGAGGATTCAAAATCAAGTGAGGCTAAAAATAAATAAATAAATAAATAAACATTTCTCTAAAGACTAGTATAGGTTTTAAAGGGATTAAGGGTCAGGAAAAAATGCATTAAGAAAAGGTGTCAATAGGAAGTAAGAATGTATACTGTGTTTTCTTAGTTGCTCAAAAGTGTTTTTATACTTAAAAGTATTTAAGTTTTAGCTACTTTAAGAAGTATACCCACCTCTTCCTTTTGAAAATCTTAAAATCTATGTCAGTTGGGCACAGCTGGCAGGCTGCATGTTAAACTGAAAAGGTTTGGGAGGCATAAGAAAGCTACATTAGAACCCCATTCTGTCTGCCATTTGTTAAACTTTTTAAGAATCACTGCCTCGCAAGGTAGTGTTGTGAAGGTTAAATAATCTGTGTACTGTACCTAGCACAGAAACTAGCATATGGTTTGTACTCAACGGGTATTATTTCTGTTCCCTACCCCTACACTCAGTTTTCTTATTTTAAAAATATAATTCCTACCCCATAAAATTAGGATTAAATATAATAAAATATAGAGCACTTAGTTCAGTATTTAGAACATCAGAGTCAGCATTCAATACAAATCAGCCTTTTTCTCACTTTCCATCCCATAAAGGTGCATCCAGAGCACATCAACTCTGTGACGAGCCAGGGCCAACATATATTGCAGTGACAGAAGCAAAGTGAGAAAAAGATGTACCACTCTCATGGAGAATGCCGGCTTTTGGTGAATTTCCTGACAATGTTTATGTTTTTTTCCAGAGAGACTATAAAATTAAAGCCAATAAAAACTGGAAAAATGCAATTTATTAGAAAATCCGCATTTGGTAGCTCAGGATATGAGGAATGACATTACTAACAGAACATAACAAGGTATGAGAGAGCCCAGGCTGACCAATACCACACACAGGGAGTCCTTGATGGGGAAGCCCAGTGTGTCATGGGAAGTAGCAACGAAGAAAGTGTTTGGAGGGAGGACTATTGGTGTTCTTCGTTATCCGTCTCATCACGAAATTCTCATTGATTACAAAGAAAAGGGAAGAGGAAAAATTGATTTTTCAACTAACCTGTTGAGAATGTAAATTATCTAATATTCACATTAAATAACAAGTTGATTTGCCATCTGAGGAATTGCAGACATGTTGAATTACATGTTCTTTTGAATATACCAATACTGGTTTAATGGGACGTACAGTACGATATGTAAACTCTGAGATAAAGCAAATTGTCTTCTCACTACCTAGTTAGTGTGTGTGCTGGTACCAAAAGGATATTTTTTCCAGATTGAAATCAGGGAAAATACATCAGCTATCTGCTATTTATATAAGTACATATCCTCTGGATGGAGTATTACGGACCTTGATATTATTTTATAAATACTATATGTAAATATGGGAAAATGCATATATATCTATGAAAAGTTCTGGAAATGTAACTCAACTGTGCAAAAGGAAAGCTTGAAAACAAATCCATTAAAATGTAGAGCCATTTTATGGGTGATTTCTTCTTTTTTAGCCTTAAAATTTCCTCTAAGAAACATATACGACAGGTCTTTGAATAACTCACTTCATTCAATGTTTCATTGTAATGGTTGATGAGAAAAAAAAGCAATTCCTGGCCAGGGCCACTGTCGGTGTGGAATCTGCATGTTCTTTCCATGTCTCTGTGGGTTTTTCCATACTCTGGTTTCCTCCCACATCCCAAGGCTGTGCCTGTGAGGCGAACTGACATGTCTATGTGGTCCCAGTCTGAGTGAGTGGGTGTGTGTCTGACTCACCCTGCAATGGGATGGTGGCCTGTCCAGGCCTGGTGCCTGCCTTGCCCTCTGAGCTGCCGGGACAGGCTGCAGCCACTTGCCACCCTGAACTGGAATAAGTGGGTTGGAAAATGAATGAATGAATGAATGAACGAAGACAAATGATTGCCAAATAAAACTTCATGATGTCTATAATAATCGTACAGATGCACCATAAACAGCACAGGACAGGGAGCCTTCCTCATTTGTTCTTGTTTGTTTTTGAACTGCGTGGTGGTCAGGGGCTCCTGACAATCTCCACTTTTCAAATATTTATTCCATGATGTAACCCACCACCACTACGACCACCCTCACTCCCTGATTCACCAAAAATTGAGTAATATTGTTCTTATTCATCTTTCTTAAATGTATGTGTAGCTCACATTTATTTTAATGTCTAATATTAGAAGTGTTTTGGGTCTTTATTTAGAAGTTGGGTGATATTTTTGTAACCAGAAATATGCCATAGGAACTTAACTTTTGTTTATGTCAATTAGCCTGTGGTAAAATTGGTTTCCATATACGTCCTTTTGCTTAAAGTTGCAGTTTCCGAGAACCTATCATCGATGTTAAGTGAGAAGACTTACTGTACTACACGATTTAAAGATTAACTTAAAAAGGCTATGAGACTGGAATAAACCCAAATCTTTCAATTTTTAGAATCAAGACTTTCATTGTACCGAAAATATATGTGTGTCTGTGTGTATGTGTGTATTCTGTGTGTCATAAGTGTTTTGTTTGTTGTTTGTTTAATGTTAGTGGCAATTCAGCGCTGGAATTCTGGGTATGTTCTTCTATGGCTTCCTGCATTTGTTTGTGTCTGTTTGGGTTAGTCTAAATTGACCACGTCTAGCTCCTAAAACCTAACAGCTGCAGGCTGTGGCTATGGAAGAGCCCTTCTCAGAATGAAGTTAACTGAGCCACGTGGGATGTAACATACACCTGTGTCCTCATTAATCCCTTACACAAACCAACTGGCCTCCACCAAATGAGACAGGAGAGACACAGACCTGTGAGTTGAAGATCCTTTTGGATTCAAGGGTGTTCCAAGGGGCCACAGACGAGTTTCCTGCCCTGTTCAAGTCCCTTCTCCCTTCCTTCCAACTGAACACCAAAAATCACTCACTAATTCATGAATTAAATCAATAAAGATTTTGCCATTCACTAACTGATATATCCAACAAATATTTATGGAGCATTGTTAGGGACTGAATTATGTCCCTATAGAATTCACATGTGGAAGCTCAGTGACTGTATTTGGAAATAGGGCCCACAAGGAGGTAATAAAGGCTAAGTGAGGTCCTAAGGGTGGGTCCCTAATCCAACGAGGCTGTGTCCTTACAAAAAGAGAAAAAGGTCAAGCATGGGCTGGTCATTGACTTCCCAGAAATGTTAGAGAGTGTTCTCCCCTCAAAAGCCATCCCTGGACCTTGGCCCATCTGGGGAGAACCACACTTGGAACAGATGATTTGCTTCTTGGGAAGCTGAGATAGGAGCCCTTCCAGCAAGGCTGAGATTGCCTAAGCTGGCAGCCAACAGGGGTTGTTGGGTGCTCACTCGGTAAGGGTTGTTGCTCATGT